CTTTCGCAGGGATTATTATGCATGGATTAATTCCCGTTACAGACGCACATATGATTTTAATGACTGCATATGAATACTGTTTAGCTATGTATTTATGTATTTATTTATACATGCATTGAATTTTATCTAAATTTTTAATTTTCTGACTGTCGGAGGTCTTCCACGGAAGCTACTCTCAACCTGGCGTTGGGGGTAGCCTACTACCCTACCTCCCCCTTACCCCATACATATGGGAATTGGGTTTTGTTGTTGTTGTTGTTGAATTACAATTCAACATAGAAATATACATAATAGTATTAGGTAGGGGTGCACAAAAAATCCGAATATTCGATTTTGTGAAAAAAATATCCGAAATCGGTTTTGGGAAAAACCGGTTTTTTTTAACCGGATCGGATTTTTTTAAATCGGTTATTTTAACCGGTTTGGAGAAAAAAACCTAGACCGGTTTTTTTACCGGATAAAAAACCGGTTTGAAAAAAACCGGTTTTAACCGGTTTTTATCCGGAAAAAAAACCGGTCTGGGTTTAAAAAACTAGCCGTTAATATAGCCGTTGGGGGGGTTTTGTGACCGTTTTTGACCGTTTTTTTCTTTAAAAAATTACCATTTTACCACCCTAAACATGTATAAATAGGTTGGGGATGTATTTGGTTGATTACAAATTCCTCAAATCTTCTTACACAACACTTAAACATCTCTCAAATCTTACTTTTGTAATTTTTTGTTCATCATGAGTAACACGGCTGAATCTTCCGTCGGGGGAAACCTTGAAGTCGTGAGAGTGATCGAACACACTCGAAACAAAGACATTTGGGATCACTACGATTTATGTGAGATGTCAAATGGCTCGAGGAGGGCGCGTTGTAAACTTTGTCTAAAGTTTCTTGCATCGGAAGGAAACACAACGTTGAAGAACCATTTGACAAAATCATGCAAGGCACTTCGCTCAAGATCGGATCCTAGTCAATCGAATCTTACACCGCAAGGTGGTGTTTTTGTTTACGACAACGAAAAATTACGAGAAGCGTTTACAAAGTTCGTGATTACAAAAGCATTGTCGTTCAACCACTTTGATGATGAAGATTTCACGACAACAATTCAACAACTAATGCAACCACGTTATACTCAAGTAAGTCGTACTACCCTTAGAAGAGATGCTATAAAAATGTGGCGTACGGCGAGGGAAAAAATGATTTTAGGATTCCAAGAACACCGTTATGGTGTGTCGCTTACATGTGACGTTTGGAGTTCCCCTCATAATACCGGAAATTCTTTTTTAGCCGTTACGTCACATTGGTTAGATCAAGATAATTGGCAAATGATGAAAAGAACAATCGCGTTTGAATTATTCGGTGAGCCGCATACCGGTGCTAATTTATTTACACTTTTAAAAAGGGTAATTTGTCTTTATAAATTAGAAAATAAAGTTTTTTCTATATCCTTTGATAATGCATCGAATAATACAAACGCGGTTCCAAGATTGAAAATATTACTTTCACAGATTTTAGACGGTGCGTTTTTTCATACCCGTTGCGTTGCACACATAATTAATTTATCCGTGCAAGCCGGTTTGGAGGTTATTGAGCCGATTAGATTAGAATTCAAAACAATGATAAAATCGGTTCTTTGTAACAACAACAAAAGACTAAATGATTATAAACGATTTTGTAAGTCTGTTAATAAAAAAGCTTTGGGTCCTAATTTGGATTGTCCAACTCGTTGGAACTCAACTTGGATGATGATGCATACTGCCTTAAGGCAAAGGGAAACATTGCAAACATTTCCCGATCGACTTTTCGAGAGGGGTCATGTCCCAAACATTTATCCGGATTCGAGTTGGGAAACTATAGCCAAAATAACCGATTTGCTTGAGGTTTTTAAAAATGCAACAACTTTTTTATCCGGTGTTTATTACCCTACTAGCCCGTTGGTTCTTAATTAAATATTTTTGTTGGCTACCCGACTAAATGACTTTGAATTTGAAACCGAAGTTTTTCAAGAAATTGGCTTTGCAATGAAGGAAAAACTTTTAAAATATTTTAAGGAGATTCCCCCCATTTTTACTTGTGCCGCCGCTTTAAACCCAACGTTAAATGTTGGTGGGGTTGAAACACTAATTGAACAAATTGCGTTTGCTTTTAATCTAACCGATGATGAACCCAACTTTGTCCAAAACCAAATAAATTATTTTAACAAATGTTTTCGAGACATGTTTGCAATTTATTTAACTAAATACGGATCAAGTAGTGTAATACACGATCAAATGAGAATGAATGCGGAATCATCTAGTAGACGTCCAAGTAACATAAATTTGAATCTTTTTAACACTCTTGTAAATTCCCAATCCAAACGATCACGTACTACCACCCCAAGTAGCGAGTTGGGAAATTATATGTCATGCGATTTTCTATCAAAAATGACATTTGAAGAGTTTGAAAGTTTGGATATTTTGGCTTGGTGGAAAGAAAAGGAAGCACAATTTCCAATTCTAACCGCCATGGCCCGTGATTTACTAACCGTCCAAGCTTCTACGGTAGCTTCGGAATCCGCTTTTTCTGTTAGTGGCAGGGTTATATCGCAACGGAGATCAAGACTAAGTCCCGAGTCGGTGGAAGTATGCATTTGTTTAAAGGATTATTTGGATGGAGCGGCTCGTAAGCAACATATCACCACCCTAGAAGATGCAATTGATGCGGATTTGGAAGCAAACTTACACATTGAAGAAGTCGAACTTGGAATATCCCCTCCAAACGAAGAAGGCGAAGATGATGAAGAAGAGATGGCAATGTAGTTTATTTTATAACTTTATTTCAATTATCGTAAACTTTGTTTCAATTATCGAACTTGAAGTTTTTAAGTATTTGAATTTATCGAACTTGGAAGTTTTTAAGTATTTGAATTTATCAAACTTGAAAGTATTTAAGTATTTCAATTATGTTGAGTTAATTAAGTATTTCAATTAAGTATTTGAATTTATCGAACTTGAGGTTTGATGATTTCTCTTTGATTCTCTCTTGATTCTAGTTGCTTGATGTTTCTTGTCTTTGATCAATGGCTTCTAAGCTTGCTTAAATACACCTTGAATCACTTCTGAACGTTAGTGATAATTAATGAAGATAATATAGCCGTTTAAGTGTGAAAACATTTAATAAAAATGCTTGGAGCGTGGGGGAATCGGTACTCTCTCATAGGGAATCGGTACCCTCTCATAGGGAATCGGTTCCCTAAGTGTAAAATTCAAATATTTCGACCGTTGAATAGGGGGGAATCGGTACCCCCTATGGAGGAATCGGTTCCCTCCGAGCATTCTGGAAATCTCGGAGCCAAACCATTCAGTGAGGAATCGGTACCCCCTTGGGGGGGAATCGGTTCCCTATGAGCAATCTGAAATATTAAAATCGGTTTTTTTATAACCGGTTTTTTAAAAAACCGATTTTTTAAAACCGAAACCGGTTACACCGGTTAGGATATCCGGCCCTCCAAACCGGTTAAAAACCGAACCGGTTATTTTATAAACCGGTTTTTTTTCTATGAGAAAAAACTGGATCGGTTAAAAACCGATCCGGATCGGATTGAAATCCGACAAATGTTCATCTCTAGTATTAGGTATGCAAATGAGTCCAGTTACAAAAGAGATTCTGAAATTAAAAAGAAAAAAAGAAACAGAGCGTGAGGAAGACGCTCCAAAAGATACGAGTAGGGGAAGTATGCTTCATTATGACAAGTGTAAAAAGGATTTTGACTTTGTTCAACTGGTGGGCTAGATGATGACAAAAACAATAAATAAATAATTATGAGAAAAAAAGCGAAATCCAACGAAAATAAATTAATTTTTAGTTCATTATTATTCAATTAATTTTATTAATAATGTTAAGTTTGAATTTTTGTTTTTATTTATGGAGCTTATATATATTTTAAATATAATAATTAATTATGATTGTTGTTTAAAAAACATATTATAATTATGATTATAAATTGATCTTTTGTTGTTAAATTTAGTTGAGAAAAATAATTAATAATTTGTGTTATATTCACATTTAAATGAATGAAGCAAATTGATAAAAATAACCATATAATTAACCAACCACTTGCATATGGATGAGATTTGAACATAATTTTTATATTATCAATTGAGAATAATAGGAATTAAATATTTGGCACGTGCGTTGAGTAAAAACAATGCGAAATTAAGTATTAAAAATGTAATGAAATATTTATTACTTTTGTTTGATGATGGTAGACACAATTTAAATGAATTTACAGTCATACGATTTTTTAATTAGATTACGTTAGTTAAAAATTAAATTAAAATATATATTTCAAATCTTGAGATCCTAACGACTAATATATATAAGGGGAGACTCCAATCGAAAGAAGGAAAGTGATTCTAATGAATCTAAAAACTTATGATCTAAGAAAATATGAGTAAACAAAGATGAGTCGTTTGGTTAACTGACAAAATGTACTTGCTTTAATAGCTAATATATTTAGATTATATTTTACACTAATTATATTATAATTTATTTAGACTAATAATTATATTTTTATATTAATGTCAAAAAATATAATAATAATTTTAACTTAAGTATGTAATTATTAATTACTAATTGATCTGATTTGATGAGATTAAGATCAAGTATTTGAGTACTAATATAAATAGAATAAATTAAATTATAAAAATCTTATCCTTATTTTTGTGATATTTGGTTCCGATTAATCTAATTACATATTAAATATCAATAATTATTTTAAAAGAGCAGTGCATATAACTAAAATTACTCACTTTTTAAAAAATTCACTCATATTATAATAAAGTCGACTAAAATTTTTGTACAATAAAATTTAAACAGAAAGATGACACAATTCTGAGCGAGGGTGGCAGAATCTAAAAAGTAACATTGACACAGTGTGGTGCGCAGGATAAGAGTCAGCGATGCTCGTTATAAAACACAGTCACCCATTTTCACCATTTTTGCTCAAGGTCAGCGTCACTCATTCCCTTGAACACCACCCACCCAACTCCCCAATTTTTTTTGGTAAAAACATTTTATTTTTCTAAAACAACTCATTTTTTCTTCATTTTCATCATCATCATCTCCTTCTTCTTCTGATCTCTCTTTGAATCCCTCAGACCGGAAACACAGCATTTACTCTGAAAGAAAAAAAACATTTAATAGAAATAGTGGGTATTTAAGAATGGAGGGACTGCCCCCTGGTTATCGCCCCAACGTTGGTGTTTGTATAGTCAACTCTGATAATCAGGTACCCTTTACTTCTTTTTTCTTTTAGTCTCAGCTTTTGATAGCAGAGCGGATTGAGCTGACTAATGGCCAGAAAAGAACAAGCAGTCTTAAGTTGAAATCAGATTAACCTAAACTGAAATTTTATCCAATTTGGATTTTCTGCTTCTTTCTCTTTTTGGAAGAATTGATAGACTTTTGTGATTTTCGGTTTTTATGGGTTTTTTGAGGTTTGTTCTTCATGAATATATGGATTAAAAAAAGCTGAAATACTTAATTTTTATATGTTTGCAGGTTTTTGTAGCTTCCAGATTGAATGTCCCGGGAGCCTGGCAGATGCCTCAGGTAATACACTGTTGAATCTCTATTTACTCATTGCTTACTGAGAGTTCAATTGACCCAACGGCTGAAATTTATCTCTGTATCCGAATCGAAGCCACTTTGTTCATTTGCTATTTAACTGTATGATACGAAACCAAAGTGTATTTATAGTTTTCTCAGATTCTGCACATCATTAATTGAAAGAAATGATTTCCCTGTAAGTTGTGAGATTTCTTTCATACACGAGTATATGTTTGAGCTTGTTTAACAGATTATAATTTTGGGATTTTACTAACTCAGGGTGGTATCGAAGATGGCGAGGAACCAAAATCTGCAGCTATCAGGGAATTACGAGAAGAAACTGGAGTAGGATCTGCTCAAATCATTTCCGAGGTTTGCTTGCTTATGCTTGAACATTGGTGGCTGGGGCACTTGTACTATTATGTGTTATTTTGTTCATTCTTACATAGCTTGGATTCGAGTGTTGAACTTAGATAAGATGGATCTAATGTAGAATTATCTTCTTGTTTAAAAAAGCAAAGAAATTTGGGAACTAACTAAAGAAAAAGATATCAACATGTTTATCTTCATGTATTATCTACAAGCATAAGAGAAATGGGACAAATAAGGTTATTACTTATTTCAAGTTATAGAATCACTTGAATGAAGGGTACTGCAAACAACAGTTCCTACTAATATTCTTAAACAACAATTCCTACATTGTATGCAACGTACTTCTTTCTTTCCCCACTGCTATTGCATATTTAATTAACATTGTATTTTGGCAGGTTCCTAATTGGTTGACATATGATTTCCCTCCTGCTGTGAAGGCTAAAGTGAACAGACTCTGGGGAGGTGAATGGCATGGGCAGGCACAGAATGGTTTGTTTCTCATTTCTTCCCGTTCCTCTTTCTCTTAACACATGCTCACATCTAGGTGTCCTTGTCTATTAGAAGAAAGCCATGCTGGTTTGAAATGGCTTGGTTTAATTTTTAATGTTAATTTTATAGTCTACCTAGTGGCTACTACACTCTGAGTCGATGCAGCTCACACACACCCTGTAGACGCAGCTCCTCAAACCCAGGTCCTCTAGGGAGAACAACACTCCCTTTTACCATTGAGGCCACTTAATGTGTTTTAGTGCAGTCTATGCATCTAACATGCCTATAGTGTGGCATTTTTCTCTTTATGTTTTATGTGAATTTATATATTATTCTTCGTTATGTTGGGTAAGGAGGAAAGCAACTATTCCGTTTTCTAGTTGAGGAAAAATATTTTACGAAATTATACACCCAGAATCATGTGGACACTTGCATGGTATATGTTATTCATTTAGTATTTCTGGAACAAGCACACATGTTCTCTTTAGCAATATGAAAGTGGATTTTGGATACTCTCTTGTCTTGATATCCTTTGTGAAGCAGCATTTTGCTGGACTTAAACTACTAGGGATATGGAATATGTATCATTACGTGTAGAGATGTAGTAGCACGATCTATTAGTCATGTCGAAGTAGAATGGCTCGAGTTTTGTTCTTGCAACAGCTGCTAATTAGAAAGAAGCTCATGGATGCCATTTATAGTGTGTAGTAGTAATAAATTTGGAATGGTTTATGAGCTGACTAAAGATCGGGGACACTTGACACGTTTCTTATGAGATTAACAAAAGATGAGAGCGAGATCAACTTAGCAACCGGCGAGGCAGACCTAGAATTCGCAGAGTGGAAATGGACAACCCCTGGAGAAGTGGTTGAGCAGGTATTATGCCACATTATGATCAATACATTCACCACCAGCATTTTCTCTAAGATGTCTCTATAAATTGGCTGCAGGCTGTGGACTATAAAAGGCCGACGTACGAAGAAGTTATGAAGACCTTCGGGCCTTACTTAAGGGACAATAGCGAAGCCGCTAAATGTAAATCAACAAAATGGTGAAATGCTGTGCGGTTGTTCCTTGTTTGTAGGTGTTTCTCTCTTGAATCCATCTTTGATCTCTCTGTAAATGTATATGACAGAACTTTTATGAAGTTTAGATTGTTGTTTCATTGGTAATAACATGTTTGTGCAAAAGTCATGTGGTGCTTTTGAGTTTTCATGGCTGAATCTCTCTGGAAAGTTTTAGCTACAAGACACAAGTATGAGCATAGTGTAATAAATGCAGCTTGAGTTTGACATATCTAAAAGCATACACAGATGCAGCTGTTGAGACCTATGCCATGTAAAGTTTGCTCCTTTATTCACGGGTGCACCTACTGTTTTATATTCCTTGGCTAAAGGGCCAATATACCAATAGAAGCAAGGGTGGAATTCGGGATGGGTATTTGACCCCAATCCAATGAATTTTGACTTGATAATGTTGGATTTTATTTTGAAAATTAAGGTTTGAGAATCAGGTTCGAGCTTAAGGTAGACATACCATTTATCTTTATATATTTAAGAATATTATCTCTATTTTATTTTTTTAATTAAATCTTTATTTTATCTAATAAAAAATAATAATTATATATACGTCTTATTAAGTGTAAGTGCATATGCAAATGTGGGTGTTGGTGGGGTTGAGTTCCGATCTGAATAAACAGATGAAAGAGAGTAATACTCTAATCGAATTCGAATCGACCAAAAATTTGATTCAATCTATGATCATCCTAGAAAAATAGGAATAGAAATCCCAGCCCCTTAACCTATTTTTTCTTACACGTGTCATCTTTCATAAATAATGTTGCACATTCATTGTTTTGATGATAAAAATCATTTTTCCTTCTTTTATTTACATTATAATTTTAAAATTTGTTTTAATTTTAATTATATAAAGATTAAATATAACGATAGTAAAAAGAAAATAAAAAATTAAATTAAGTGATTGTGACATTTCATAATTTATATATATATATATATATATATATTTTTCTCAATATAAAATAAATTTATTTTTTCACTATAATTAAAAGTTTCACTCAAATAATTAATTCATATACATGTTTTTAATTAATTTTAATATCAATTAACTAAAAAGATTAAAACAATTTTAACATCATTTATATTTTTTTGGTATAATCATCGATATTCAATCTATTTGCTATCGTTAACTTTTAATATGTATATAATTAAAAAATAAAATAAATTTTAATAATATAAATCATTATTTATTGAAGAGAACACGTGTAAGAAAAATAGGTTAAGAGGAAGGGATAGGGACAGGAATATGGGGCAGGTGATTTCTATTCGAAAAATAGACCGAAATGATCCTCAAATTGAATTTTTTATTTCAGTCATTAAATATTAATTTATATCATCCAAAGAATGGAAATAAAATATTATTTTGACTTTTCAGATAAAATATCTTTTTTGCAAAAAAAAATCGTATGTTTTCTCAACTAAGGGTTGTTTATTTGACTCTTAATAGAATCATTCAACGTTGAATGTTGAATGGTTCAGTATTCAGTATGTTTGTTTCGTACTTTTGAATGATTCAGTGCTGATTGATTCAGTAAAACAGTGTTGAATGATTCGGCACAGAAGTATATTCTGAATGATTCAGAGCCAGTAAACAAACATGTCACATTCAGAGTTAATTCATTCAGATGCTCTGATACATTTAATATTTAAATCATTCAACGTTTAATTATTCTTAAATAAACAAACAACCTCTAAAAATGAAAATGAGATTACTCTTATAACAACCGTTGAAATTTTATTTATTTATATATTTAATATATGGTAAAATTTCATTGAAGAATGGAGCGAGTAACAGCGACAAGAGAATTGATTCCAGCAAATTGGCAGAGCAACAAACATCGAATAGAACACCCAATCAAATGATCATTACGTGGCAGAATTGTGTTCGTTGCCAGCAAGTTGGCAAGCGGCAGAAATAATTAAAACGGAAAGACAGTCCTGTTGGAAGCAGCGACGGAGTGCCACCCAACTCATCGTCTCACCGGCAGCTCAAAGGCAGTGAATCACATTGCTTTCCCCTCCCGATTTCTGAACAGCACTTGTAGATGTGGGATAAGATAAGGTTCGAATTTCGAGCAAATGCATAAGGCGATTTTTTTGATATATCACCGATGATCGGTAATATTATTGATTTAATAGTGGTTAGATTATATTTTCCGATCTAATACCCTTAGCAGTAAAGTGCGTTCCCTACACCGCGCTATACGGTGAGCTGGCGTCATGTGGGTATAGTGCGGCCCCTGCAGCACGCTATACGCCAAGTAGGAGTATAGCGCGGATCAGGAACTGCGCTATACCTTTACTCCCGACATAATTTTATATAGCGCGGGGCAGGTACCGCGACATACATTTACTCTGACATAATTTTATATAGCGCGGATCAGATACCGCGTTTTGTATAACTTTCCTCGCTATAAATACTATTCTCCACCGGCTAATTTCTCACATCTCTCCTCTTAACTTATAAATTAATACAACAATTCCGTCAACAAATCAATAATTCTAGCAATCTTCTCATATTTTATTTAGAAGTTCGTGCGATTTTTTGTTATAAGATAATTTTGTTATAATTTTTATTATATTTATTGTTTATTATGATTATTTGAAAAAATATTATATTAATTATTTTCAATTAATTTTTGTGTTTGTAAAATTAGAAAGCGGGAGTATACGTCGAAATAGTTTTGCGGTTCAGGTAATAATATTAAATTATATTATTTAATTTATTTACGTTGATGCGTAAAAATTTTATTGTGTTATATGTTCGTTCATATATAATTTATTAAATAATGTTTGTTTCATTTATTTTTTTTGCAGATTTAATAGTGCCGCACTTTTAAACTCAAACAATGACGCGACTTTCAGTTATTGTTTATTATGATGGTGAAATTCGAGAAGATGAAACCAGCGTTGTTTTCGTATCAAATGAGCGTGTTAAAATATCATTCAAGAGAAACATAACTCTTGAGGAGCTGATAACGAAGATTTCGAGGAAGATTCATGTTGGAAGTAGTAGAAGAGTGTCGTCGTTGCAGTATAGATTTCCAACATGATTATTGCCATTAATTTATACAACATTTGAACTTTCGAACAATGATGATGTTGAAATGATGGTTGAACCTCAAAGTAATTATTCATACGCCGCTATTGAGATGTATGAACATTTTGTTCAAGTGCGTGCTGTTCGGAGTCAATCATTAAGCTCCCATTATGGGCTGACTGAACAAGTTGACAGCCCGACGACAGTAATGTGTAATGATTTTAATGCCATAATGGGGAGACATTCATCCGTAACTCCTTACGATATGTACCGAGGTAGGTTCACGAACAATCCGTATGGCAACATCGCGTCCAGTTCAAGGGGAAGGCATTCATCTGCAAATCCCTTTGATCTTAATATGGAGATGCCATCGACGCAACCATCTGTGCAGTTTTCATTTGACGCGATGGCTTCAAGCTCTAGGGGGAGGCATTCGACTGCGAGCTTTTTCGATCTCAATGTCGATATGCCTTCCAGTTCAAGGGGAAGGCGTGCAAGTAGTAGGTTATTCGACCTAAATGTGGAGAGCATGGAGAAACCATCATCTCCACAGAAGAACCGCTTCGTGAGCCTGGTGCAGATGGTGCTGAAATTGGACTATTTATTGACCCAGAATCACCGCAATTCAACTCTGATGATGATGAAGTTCCAGGAAATATGGCACAAACTGACCCTCCTGCACACATGTATGAAGCTGATTATGGTGCAATGTACGGGCCAGAATTTGCGGATATGCCTCATCTCGGTGACTATGGGTATTACTTATCAATAAATAATGGTGAGTTATCTTTAGGCATGGAGTTTTCAAGCAAAGAAGAAGCGATGATGGCTATCAAAAATTATAATATACGTAATTCTGTTCAGTCCAGAGTAACCACTCCACGACCGAAAAATATGTATGCTACTGTGTCGTTAAGAGTAAATCTAAGGGACAGAACGTGCGACTGCGGGTTTTTTCAAGCTCTGAAGTATCCATGCTATCATGTGATAGCAGCTTGCTAGCATACACGTCAAGACTATAACCATTTTGTGGATCCCGTATACCTACTATCTGAAGTTTTTAAGGTATACGAATTTGAGTTTCCCCCCATAGGTAATGACAAAGACCCTGATGAGGTTCAAGATTGGCTTCTGATTGTACCAAATCTGAGTTTATTGAGGGAGCATGGTCGTCCAAAATCCAATCGAATTCATTGCGATATGGATATTAGAGAAAGATCTAGACAAGACAGAAGATGTGGGCATTGTAGAAACCCATGACACACTAGAAAAACATGTCCACTTCTATTGTCATCAAGTAACAATTGATGAGGAAATGATGTATTTTATTGTCAAATAATAATTCTTCTACTTTAATTTGCATTTACTTCAAGTTAATGTCATTTGATAATCACCGATGAAGATTAAAAAAACAAACACAATCATTAAATTTTAACAAACTAATAACAATAAGTATTAAATGGTAAATGATAACCAAATTACAATAACTGATATTAAATGGTAATAAAAAAATGAACTGAAATACATTAAAAAAGTCCAACAAATTTAACAAAATAAAGTAAGTATTAAATGAGAAATAATAAAAAAATTACAATTTAACAAAATAAAGTAAATACAAATATAATAAAAAACAAAATATATCGATGGCTGCGACGCGAATGTGTTCCGCAGGGCGGTGGCTGTCGGTCTCGAGGAGGATTTCTTCGTATCACTGGTTCTGACTCCTCGTTGTTATCATCATCACCGTCATCGTCGTCATTGTCGTCGTCGTCGTCTTGCGCAGGTACATGAGGAGTTGATGACGATGAAGCACCTCCGTAGAATAAGGACCCTGGAGGTGTATGGCTGACCATCCCACCGGCCTGCGAAAACTGGGAAAACTCATAAAACTCAGACATCGCTGAGTGTGAAAACTGTACAGGAGGCGGTGTCTGTGCTGCGGCCATGGGTGATTAGGCTGAACCCGCCAAATATCCAGCATATGAACCCCAAGTCAGGTCTACAAACATAGACCCATAATAGCCTCCAAGAGGGGTCATCTGTGACGGTGGCGGTGGCGGGGTCATAAAATCGGGTGAAGGCGGCGGCGACATCTGGTAATGGAAAGGCGATGGCAACATCATATATGACTGCGGCATCATATATGGTTGCGGTGGCTGCTGGGAAGGTCCTGCTTGTGTAGCTGAGGATGAACCGGAAGTACCTGCTCTCCATCCACGAGTCGGGGGATGACGGTGCTGTGTCAGTGAACGTCTCTCTCGACGTCGTGGAAATGTCTGCCCTCGTGCATCCTCGGGAAGTAGAAACGGTTTCCCGTTACTGTTGAACCACTCATAATAATCCTCAGCATACATCAGGAAGTCAGTAAAAATGGGCTCTCTATGTGGAAGACGCTGATGTCGATCCTCCCACAACACGACCCACTCATGATGCCTCACCAGCCAATTTGTATCTGTCTTGCCGCGTCTATCTAAGCTATGCAACTCGTCCATATTGCGAGGTGCTTCCGGAATTGGTTGAAAACAACCAAACTGCCAGAGCACGCGATCAGTGGAGTGCCACTCGACGGTCGCATAACAGATCAGAGGGACCATCGCCATCCAAACATCTAATAGACCCCTCAACTCAGGTGGGATCACCGCCCTCACATCATCAGTAGAATATGACACCCATTCAAACTAAAACAAATAATATATAATTTTTATCAAAATAATAATATAATTATATAACTATAATCTAAAATCGATTTTTAAACATTAAAATTCATACCTGTGTGCCAGCCTTCTGATCGATTAGCACCCTTATCTTTTCTATATCATCAGGTAGCTCCTGATGATTTTTCCTATCAGTAGACCACCTATTCAAGGAAAAAAATTTGTTATACGTTGTATAAAATTATTAATATACAAAATCAGTTTTATAATTACCTCAGAAGTAGTGGAAATACGAATGGGTTGTTCACAACGGGACATAAAAAGAGCAATCGATACCATGCCCAAGACTGCAGCAGCAGGAGACATCCGCCGATAGCATTACGCCTGTAGTCAGTGGCTCCACACATCTCCCTGTACAGCAAAGCCAAAACTGCCGAGCCCCAACTGAATGATCCGACGAGACGAAAGTCGCTAAGATGTCGCAACCACATGCAGTGAACTAGGTTGCGCGATTTGTCCGACATCAGCAACCCTCCTATCAGCTGCAGTATGCATGCCCGTGCATACATCTTAAACTCATCCTCAGAGGCGTCTGCGCTCAACTCTCAAAAATTGGCATCTAACCAATTTAACGGTATCTTACATCCGATAAAATTTTCCGGGACACGTCCTAGACTATCCCGACACAAAGCAGTCCAAGAACCAGAAGCTACCCCCGATATCACATCTCCATCCACCGGAAGCCCCAGGTGCATAGAAACATCCTCAAGCGTGATCGTGCACTCTCCGCACGGAAGATGGAATGTGTGGGTCTCCGGCCTCCACCGCTCTACTAAAGCAGAAATCAGGTCTGGCTCTATCTTACAGTGACCCTGATATCTACCTATGTAACCGAATTCAGCCTCTACTAAATACGGCAAGACACAGCTGGGTATCACTAACTTAAGATTTCTAATAAAATGATCTAATACACGGTCCTTCTCCTAAAAATAAATAATTACAAAAATTAATTCTTAATCTAATAATCATGCATTAAATGAATCAACTAAATATTACTAATAATTTAAATTAAATTAAAACGTTAAAATGTTACCGTATCAGCAAAGTGTAGAGATATATGATTTCCATCCGAGCGAAGTAGACTGCCTTCCATTATATATCTGCAAAAGAATTATATTAGTAAAATATTAAATAAAGTAAAAACATAATAGTAAAAATATTATAAAATAAACCTTAAAAAGAGAGTATTTGAGAGAAATTTAGAGAAATTGAGAAAATTTGGTGTGATAAAAGTGATTGAGGATGTGGTATTTATAGGGAGGTTGAGGACATGAATTAGGGGTATAGCGCGCCCCCTGCACCGCGCTATATCCCACGTGTCAGATATACATGTATAGCGCGCTGCAGGGGCCGCACTATACCCACGTGGCGCCAGCTCACCGTATAACGCGGTGCAGAGGGCGCACTTTACTGCTAAGGGTGTTAGATCGAGAAATATAGTCTGACCGATGTTAGATCAGTAATATTACCGATCACCGGTGATATATCGAAAAAATCGTCAATGCATGAGCCCCATTTTTTATTTTTGTTTTTTATTTTTAAAAAAGGAGATACTTTAAATATAAATATTAAATACTTGACGTGCTCAAGTTGTTTTGACAACATCCCACCCCAATTGGATTGGAGATTGATTGACTTTATACGTATAAAATACCTAGGCTGTATTTCTACGTATAAGGTGTTATTTGAGCAGTTCATATCTAAACATTATATCTTCTCTCCGCGTTTATTTGCAGCTCTTGTCATCAATCTTCAAGCTGCTGCCTGGGCGTCTTCTTCTCCAAAAGAAAGGGTAATTCCTATTTTTGCTCCTGAATCATTTAAATGATCTATTTTTCTTTACTTACAAGCTCTTTTAGTTGAATTTCTTCTCTTGTCTTCCGGGAATTTCCTTTCTCAACGACTCTTATTCTTATATTTTGAAATTCTAGACATAGATGAAAATATAAAAAATTAATCTTTGATGTGTATGCTTTTGTCTTTTTTTTTAATATACTAAAAATTTGCATCTAGTTCACAACTTAGGGTTTCTTGAGATCATCATAAACGAACATGTTTTTGAAGAAGAAAAATACTAATAGTAATATTTAACCCCTTCTCTGGAAATGGGTTTTTAGGATTGTGAATTAGGATTTGGTCTTTTCCACAAATTATGAAGATGATTGCAGGCACAACATAAAAATAATGGTAAAAATCCGATAACCAGGTAATATATTCGAAATCAAACCATATATAATCATAAAATTCTAGTATTACCACATGAACTTTTAGTATATTTGAAATTCAAAATCAGGATCCAGATGCTTAGAAGGTTGATCTCTTAGTACGCTGTGGGTCGATTTATAGTTAAGCTTTTCGTTCTTTAACATGGAATCTAATGGTTGATTTGATCAGAAAATGTTTGACAAAGACTTTTTCACTGAATATGGCGAAGCGAGTCAATATGAGATAAAGGAAGTAGTTGGCAAAGGAAGCTATGGTGTGGTTGCATCTGCAATAGATACTCATACCGGAGAGAAGGTGGCTATTAAGAAGATGATCAATATCTTTGAGCACACCTCTGATGCAATACGCATTCTTAGAGAAATCAAACTCCTACGGCTGTTGCGACATCCGGATATCGTTCAAATTAAGCACATAATGCTTCCTCCATGTCGACGAGAATTTAAAGATATATTTGTTGTTTTTGAGTTGATGGAATCTGATCTTCACCATGTTATAAAGATTAATGATGATCTAACCCCTGAACATCATCAATTTTTCTTGTACCAGCTTCTTCGGGGCCTAAAATACATTCACACAGGTTGCTTTTCTTCACCTGTGTATTTATGTAAAGTTCTCTCTCAATTTATGAAGATTGTGACCCATTTTCTTTTACCCTTTCCTTTACATTATCAGCACATGTTTTCCATAGAGATTTAAAGCCAAAAAATATACTTGCTAATGCTGACTGCAAACTGAAGCTTTGTGACTTTGGACTTGCTCGGGTATCATTTACCGATGTACCTTCTGCTATTTTCTGGACTGTGAGTGTTCCTTCTTGCCTAGTGTATTTATCTACTGTTTATTGTTTATATGTTTCTGGCTATCCTACACATCTGATTATTGTTTATTTTGAAAGGATTATGTTGCAACTCGATGGTACCGGGCTCCTGAGCTGTGTGGTTCATTTTTCTCAAACGTAAATACTTTATTAATCTGTTCAAAGAATTTATTCTTCTCCCCCGTATACTTGCATACGCTGCTTGCTAGAATTTTACTTTATAATCTATTCGAGCTAACAAGTTTGAGAAAAACTCCTTGAAGAACTTTATTAATTGATTTTCGAAACCTGGTCTTCTGCAGTACACCCCTGCTGTTGATATTTGGAGTGTAGGATGCATATTTGCCGAGTTGCTAACTGGAAAACCCTTGTTTCCCGGAAGGAATGTGGTGGATCAATTGGAACTTGTGACCGATTTGCTCGGCACTTCCTCTGCGGAAACAATTGCAAGGGTCTGCTAACTCCTATTGATTGGAGAAAATTTCCATCGGTTCTTGTTGGGAGCCGCATTTAAGTTACTTTCTAGCTTTATTCTAAACATGGAGAACACCCGGTTTCCTAACCATCTCGATTCTTAATAATATCTGCAGATTCGAAATGAAAAAGCTAGAAAGTATTTGAATAGCATGAGAAAAAAGAAACCAATTCCTTTCTCAAAAAAATTCCCAACTGTAGATCCATTGACCCTTAATTTGGTTGAGCGTCTCATCGCATTTGATCCTAATGATCGACCATCTGCTGAAGAGGTAAACTCGAGGGTTTCTGAGTTATAGTTTAATCTGGATCCCTTTTTCTACATACTCTATTTTTTTTATTAACTTTTTTTATTGATCTTATGCAGGCATTAGCTGATCCGTACTTCGAAGGATTGGCAAATTTGGACAACGAACCATCCATGAATCCCATTTCAAAACTTGAATTCGAATTTGAAAGAAGGAAGCTGTCAGAAGATGATGTCCGAGAGCTAATTTACAGAGAGGTACTTGTGTGGATAGATATTAGTCCTTGCCTCATCGATATTGTTCTCCGTTTTGGTTCCCCCTTTCACTTATCAATTCACTTCTGGTTCATCTTATTTTAATATGCGAAAAGATATTAGAGTACCATCCACAGATGCTTCAGGAACACCTTCAAGGCAAAGATCACATTGGCTTCATGTATCCAAGGTCTGGCATCCAACTATTTTTAACTGGAAACCGTAACATTGAGGTTCCGGGTATTGGCAGCTGAAACTAGGATTTATCGTCTTCAAGCTATGTTTTATGCTACCTGAAATTCCAATCTTAAGTTACAGTTTCCGCTCCTCTTTTATTCTATATGCTGTTTAATGCTAAGTCAATTATGTGTTTTGTATCAATCCAGTGGCGTAGATCAGTTTAAGCAACAATTTGCTTGTCTCGAGGAATGCGGCACAAACGAAGACAACATCTTACTCCATAGGAAATACACATCTTTGCCTAGGTGCTGGAATATCTTCTTGCTTTCGATTATTTTGAATGTGCTGCTTTTGTATGCTGATATGGTCATTTATTTCTCAGGGAACGAGTCTGCAGTGATGATATTGATCCCACTGATGAACCAAAAAAGCGTACCGTGGCGTCTGCTTCTCGTGCAACTTCTCAAAGCCCTATAAAATTGCAAGGATCGGGAGAACTGGGAGATGGAAACCAGAATGCATCCGGGACTCCAGAAGCCTCTGGCAAACCTACTTCAAGCACCCCATCTCGCTTGTCTAAAAGTGATAGCATCAGTGCTTCAAGGTGTGTTGGTGTTGTTCGAAAATCTCGTGAGGTATATGTTCTCTAACCAAACATTCGATGGCTGCCTGTTTGTCGATGTTTCACTTCACAAAGTGGTTTCACTATCCTCTCGTTTCCAGGTGCACAATGAACTGCAGAAAGCTGTAGCTTAAGCATCTGTGTTCGACTCCGGTGCATTGTTTTCATTAGATCGGTCTGCGAACTTCTATTTCCTTTGGAGATGCTACTAATTCTGTCTTCAGATTGCCAATAAATTGGCGGCCCTACTGATGTAGCTCGTAGCTGTTATTTTATGATTCTTCAGATGAACTTGCGTACCTGTTTACCATTTAAAACTTGTTAACGAATGGTTTCTCGTCTAGATGGCAGTAGCTGCTGTTGTATTCTTCGGTTCATATAATCATCCTTTTAAAAGGATAATCCTATGAACATGAAAGTTTGAATTTCGACATTATCAGCATGCGAACGGAAACAATCCCCTATTGAGAATTAAACGATCCAATTCGTCACCGTCTGTGAGATCAATTTACCCTATAATCAGTATTATTCACCAGTCAAGCAGATCACCACCGTCTGTGATTCTCGACATACAGACATATGAGCTGTTCTAATAAGAGGAAGACGTTGAGGGTTTGTGTTAGGGGTGTGGGGCCCACATGTTATGTGGGGGGGGGGGGAGATCACAAAATATGGGATATGATGTTCGGTGATGATGGAGGGTTGAATAAGAGGACAAAAAGATAAGCGGGGCTTATATCTGGTTCCGATCCAATCATCAAAGCTCTGGCCCACAGGATTACCATGTACCCTTTCACCTAGTCACCATCAGTGTCGGTCCCACACCACCCCCACCCAAAACGCACGCTTTTGCCATTTATTTTCTCAATTCCTCCCCCATTGTCATCCATCCACCCACCCACATGACTTTATATATTAATACATTTAATTATTTATTTAATTAATTAAAAGTCCGTTTGTTTCACGTAAAATATTTTTCAAAAAATATTTTCTTTATTTTTCAGTATTTGGTTGGAGGAAAATTAGTTGGTCAAAGTAAAACATTTTTCTGGTCAACAAAATTTCTTGTGTTTTCTGAAAAATGACTTATGGTATGATTTTTCGTAAGTAATTTTTTTGAACTTTTCACTTCTAATAATAAATGTTCAAAATAATTTTATTTTATGAATTTAATATTAATAAAATATTTTAATATCATTTTAATCAAAATATTAATTATTAAAATATATTTATTAATATTTATAAT